GGAGGAGAGTTGTGGGGGTTGGTTTGGGGGATTTTTGTTTGTTTGTTTGGGGTTTTTTTCGGGGTGTGGGTTTTTGGGTGTTTTTTTAAAGCAGATGTCCAGTTCCCCCACCACTTCATTTCACCTCACAGATTTGTTTCTTTCAGAGAGATACAGGACACGAAACTGAGAACCGACAGATAAGTGCTTTTTAATGTGGACCAAAGCCCAGCTGCTCTACAATGCCAAACTGGCTCAACACTCTCTGATAAATTTAGCATCCAGAGCTCTGAATAAAGTTTGACTCACTTCCCAAGATTTCTTTTTCACAAAACACCACGTGCAACCCTACTGTGTTGCATTCAACATCACCCTATCATTGTTCAGGGCAGATTTTATTTATGGGTCAGGAAGATGAGTGGAAACGCTGCAGCGCTGCAATGAGCTCAGATTGTTCTTCAGTGTCCCAGGGCACCGGATTTTCTGAAAGGATGACTATAGGAAATTACTTGATATGACAGAAACAAATACGACAATTAAAAGCTTTCCTGTAATCAAGTACTCAATTGCTGTCAAAGTTCGAACAGCAACATTTTGAACGTGTACTAAACCCTTTTGAGAGCTTTTAAATATCCAAATTGGCTTGATTATAGAGATGACTACTGGGAAACTAATTAGAATTTTGCTTTCTTCCACAGACCAAAAGGTAAACTAAATCAAACTATTCCTTTATAAGAATATTCAGTCCTACCACTGATTTTCATCATAGCAGCTGCTCCTATTAAATAATTTCATAATGGTTGCACCTAGGAGACCCAAATAGCAAGGACTAGTTGTGATATACACCATACCATCAGGTAAAAAATGAGGGACAATCCTTGCCACAGTAGCAGAACAGGTTATTAATGCAGCAGTCCAGAACTGCTATCAGTTACTTTGATTAATTTATTATACAACTACACTTTCTCTTTGTCTCGGATGCTTCCTGGCAGAGACAAATGCAGTCAAACACTGTCTTCAAACTCCTATAAACAATAATTGTTAGAGAAAATTGCTCTCCATAGAAAGCATCCCTGCCTCTGCATAAAAAATGCTATAATCACAGGAAACCTTTGAATGTCCCATTTCCTTCCCGATTTTCAAGTCTTGGAAGCTTTGCTTCTTCAGCCATTTACACTTGCTGAATTAGAAAATAACAAGGATAGTAACATTTAACCAAGAAGGTAACAGCGGCCTGAGATACAACATGAAGGCTGGGTTAAGTGAGAAAGCGTTCATTTCCAACGTAATCTGTGAATGTAATTAGGTATAAACCAGGTAATTAAAATCATTAATATACTCAAGTTTTGTCAACATTTTATCAAATTCACCTTTCGTTAAGATTTTTTTTCATGGAGCTTTCTAACAGAATCAGACTTGGTTATATTTAGGGGGCTGTTCATCAACAAAACCTCTTTGACATGGATGCTTTTAATGACAAACAAAAGGCATTTGACACAAAAACTCACCTTTTGTTTGTCCTTCTGTCACAAGTTCAAAGTTTCAACCAGCTGAGATGAGTTCCAGGGGAGAAAAAAAAAATTCTGAAACTCTAAAGCCAGGAGATATAAAGGGCCAGACTGAAATTTTATTGCATACAAAAGCACAGAAGTGAGAGTTAGGAAGGGAGAGGGGGATGTTGAATGTCTCAGGTGAGGAACTGGTTGGATTGAGGTGAGAGCAGTTTGTGAGATAATGCCATCCCAAAAGGAGATAGTCTGTTACTTGGCAAGGAGAATTGGTTTCATGGCTATGCCAGACACAGCACAAAGATCAGGTCCTCCATCCTCTGCGAGGTGGTAGTATTTACTCACATAGCAAGGCCTGTGTACAGTTCTCCTAAGTAAAGTGCACAAGATTCACAGTTTCATCAGAACCATCACACTGCAAGATCTATCCAAAGACAGCTTAAAATGCAGGGCTCGAATTGTAACATGCACCTTTCTCCAACAGGAAACGCTGCAGGAGGGTGGCTATGCTGTGGCCCTCAGATGCAAATTCAGCAAATTCCACAATTTGTGAAGGAATGGCATACATTTCCCTTCTACTCCCATGATTGACAGAAATGTGAGAGTAAATCTCAAGTGATAGTGTATTTTAGGTTTTGTCTGCTAGGTGTCTCAATATGAACAGCTTTGTGAAATAGCATGCCTAACTCAGGTGTAGAAAAACACAGGTTAATTTAATTTTCTCCTCCTCTGCAAGAGGAAATAAACACAAAGAGAATCAACACAGGGGAGAACAGCATCTTAAAAAACATAGAGCAATATGGCCTTTGGACTGTAAACACTTAGGTGGGACTGAATGTGTATTTCCTCTACATCCTCACTCAACACTGGCAGGTCTGTAATTCTGAAATTACAAAACATGTTTGACTTGTGAATACAGCAGACAGGACCTTCCCAGGCACCCAAACACAGGATCATTTTAAGGCCTCAAATGTTTTGAAAATGTGTGCTCACAGCTGTACTTCAGTTTTTGGAGCTTTCTTCAGCCTTCCCTCAAACTACATGGATTACTCTGGCACATCACAGTCAGAGTGCCACGTCATGTAGTAGGAGGCCTCACCCTGTAAAATTTGAAAAAGCTTGTTTCATGCAATCATAGCAAGGGAACTAGTTGTTCCCATGGATTTTTGTTAATTTAAGCTTTTCCAGACAGAAGGACTAGTAACATTTCAAAAATGCATGCTACCCACGTGCACTGCTAACTAGCATCAACAGGTACGTGTAAAAACCATCCACATCTGCCAGACTGCCCACTCATCCAATCCTGTGTTTCTGTTAAAATGCTGATAAATTTCTGCCAATAGCTTATCTCTTGCATCTTCAGAACAAGCCAAAATTAGTGGTAGACTTCTCAGCTTCACGTTCTTCTCTTTTTTATGTATGTGTAAGATATTACTCCTATATACTTCAATGAATATACACATAGATAGTTATCCGTCAAATGACAGATTTATGCAGGGAAATGCATGACTTCTTCCCCACTGAAAGGGAAAAATAGAAACCAACTCTCCAAAACTTAGTGCTTCAGAAACCTCTCTATCAATTTTTCACTGGCTCTTAGAGGAAAAACAAAAGAAAAAAAACAACCACCCCCACCACCCACCAGTGTATTATCAGGGTGTATTTCAAGTTTAACTGAAGGGGCACATCTGCTTTGAGACTGTGATCAAAACTTACAAAACTGAATGCTTGTAGAAACACATTTTTTCCTGTGTAATAATTTGATTATGTAAACAACTTTTTTTTTTGCATTTACAACTTCAAAATTACAATGTCTATTTTATCGCCTAAGTTTTAGAAATGATGCATTCTCATAGATACCAGTGAAGATAATGAAAAACTGTGTCCAGCTCCTTTGGAAATGCCATCATCTTTTCAGCTAATAGGTGCATATTCCAAGTACAGTCAGTTATCTTGGACAGTAATTTAAAAACCCCTTAAAATAAATAAATTAATACCAGATAATGCTACTGCTTTCTCTCAAGACAAAATGCCTTTGGACTAGAGCTACAGGAAGGATGTAAGCTGCACACTGCACAACTAAACTTTCAGATGTCTTGCTGCTGAATGGAATTTAAAGCCTCAGGGCACAAGCCTGGATTTGCCATGTAATAGATGGGAAATGAGAGCTTTGGAAGAATCACATTCATTTGGTCACCTAAGGCTAGGTAATAAACACTGCATAAAGGAGGCTTTACGCTACTGTAGAAAGCTGACAATTCCAGACCAAAGGAATACTTTTACACAAGTTTCACTCTTACAGACTTTCAGTAGTCTATTAGAGTTAGCCCTTTATCCTATTCACAGGGCCTCCTCTAAATCAGGCCAGATTTGAATTCAAGTTTTTCTCCTGTGAGAAGCCTGCTCTACCATTATTTCTAACTAACTTGTATTAAATAGTAGTGTGTATGAACTAAGCCAGAAAAAGAAATTTGGCTCAAAAGCATCATAGTTTTCAGACTTGCATAGAAAAGCCTGGTTCAAGTCCTGCTGATAATCATGCAGAAGACTGAGACAATCTTGGACCTCTCCCATGACATACGAATATTCTAGTTGGCTATTAGATTTGCATGGAAAAAGCTCCTAAATGTGATTTAGAAGTGTCTAAGATTTAGGTTCAGCTGGTGGAAAATGGAGAAGACAATCACGCTTGTAAATGCCACTAGCTTTAATAGCAAGACTGTACAGACCTGCCAAGACCTGAGTGATCACATACGTCACTGCACTTTAGTCACAGCATTTACTTTGCTGGTTGCAATGCTGATGCCCACTGAACTCACAGCCCTCCGCCCTGGGTGGCGGGAGTAGGAGGAGGATTCCTCAGACTGTAAAGTGCCAGAGCTGCGACCATCAGTGCTTACACTCCCTTTGCTTTGGTATTCTCTTCTGGGGACCCATGGGCCTTTTCTGAGCTGCTTTTCCTCTCAGAGTAACTCAACCTGAAGTTTCCAAAATGCATCAATTTCCTGAATGATGTCTAGAAACAGTTCTTTGACATGCACGTATTTACAAGTCTCTTCATGCATCTACTTGGTAAGCTGACTCTGGTGCTTAGCAATGATCCAAATAGATTGGTTGT